TGATTTTTTGTTTTGTTTTTTGTTTTTGTGATGCCGGGGTTCAAACTCAGGACCTTGCATTTGCCAGGCAGGCATGGTGCCACTACATCCCCGGTCCTGTTGATTTGTTTTTTTTTTTTTTTTTTGTTTTTTTTTTTTTTTTGGTATCATTTTCTTAGTCTCCATTGCATTGATTTCTGCTCTGATCTTTATAATTTTCTCTTTTGTATGAGCTCTGGGTTTGTCTTGCTTTTCTTTTTCTAGGAGCTTTAGATTCAGCATTACATTGTTTATTTGAGCTCACTCTGTTTTCCTAGTGTGGGCATTCACTGCTATGAATTTCCCTCATAGAACTGCTTTCATTGTGTCCCATAGATTTGTGTATGTTGTGTTGGCATTATCATTTATTTGTAAAAACTGTCTAATTTCTTCTTTAATTTCCTTTGTGACCCATTGGCTGCTCGGGAGAGTGTTGTTCAATTTCCAGGTGTTTGTGATGTTCTTGCAGTTTCTTTTGTTATTGATCTCCAGGTTAATTGAACTATCATCTGATAATATACATGGGAGAACTTCAGTTGTTTTGCATTTACTTAAACATGTTCTATGATCTCACATGTGGTCTGTTTTGGAGAATGACCCATGTACAGCTGAAAAGAATGAATATTCTGATTTTGTGGGGTAGAACACTCTGTAGACATCTATTAAGTCCATTTGTTCAAAAGCTTACCTCCATTTTTTTTGTTTTTGTTTTTGTTTTTTTGAGATAGGGTCTCACTATGTACTTGAGACTGACCTGGAACTCAGTATGTAGCCCAGGCTGGTCTCGAACTTATTTTATTTATTTAAAGCGATCCTCCTGCCTCAGCCTCCCGAGTACTGGGGTTACAGGTGTGCGCCACCACACCTGGCCTTACCTCCATATTTTTATTAATTAATTTATTTGTTTGTTTGTTTATTTATTTATTTATTTTAAGGCCTCTGCCCAGTGCCTCCATATTTTTATTAGCAGAGTTTTGTGTTGAAAATATTTTTTGGAGACAGAATCTCACTATGTTGCCCAGGCTGGTCTTGAACTCACAGCAATCCTTCTGCCTCAGCCTCCCAAGTGACCATGTCCGGCTAAAATTTTCTTTTAAAATAATGCTGGGCATAGGGCCAGGCATGTAGCTTTGCAGCATAGTATCTGCCTGGCAAGTATGAAACCCTGAGTTTGATTCCTGGCACCATTAAAAAAAAAAAAAAAAAAAAAAAAAAAAAAAAAAAAAAAAAAGCCATGCAAGGAGGTGTGTGCTTGTAATCTGGGAGGTTGAGGTAGGAAAATTGTTGCAGGTTCAAGACCAGACTGGGCTATTACATAATGAATTTAAGAGCATTCTAAACTGCATAAGGAGGCCCTGTCTTAAAAAGCTACACATACAAAACAAAGAAAACAAATTTTCTTTAAAACAGCAGTAGACTAGAGCTGGGCATGGCGGCACATGCCGGTGATCTCAGTGCTTTGGGAGGCTGAGGTAAGAGGATTGCAAGTTTGAGGCCAACCTAGGCAACTTAGGAAGACTTTATCTTAAAATAAAAAATAAAAAGGTCTGAGGATGTAGTGCAGTTCAGAGGCCCTGGTTTCAATGCTTAGTTCTGCAAAACAAACAAAATGCTAGCATTATTGCCTCACAAGCGCGAGTTCCTGAGTTCGAGCTCCAGTACCAAAAAACTAGCACCACCTTTTAGGTATTCCTTTGTTCCTTGTAACAGATTACTTTCTGTTCTTCCAGTTTTTATAACTAGGATCTTCAGTACTGTGATTTTTAGAATTTAGACGTGTCCAAGATTATCCCAAGAACTGTGTGAAGTGTAGATACCTTTTCAGAACACGAACATTTTGTGTCTAGGAAAGGATGAACTGTTGCCTATCTTTACTACTAAGTAGGTCAGGAGGAGGAGTGAAGAAAATTTCTCGTATGGCTTAGCCGCCAAACTTTTAGCATGTGTTTAAAGGATGTTATTCTGGTTACAATGCCAAAGCAACCAGGAAGTAAATAGCACAAAAATGGTCAGCCTGATGATGTATGCTTTGAACTAAGGACATCACTGCCTCTCCTACCCAGTTTGATGGGACAAAAATGGAGCTGAATCTTTTGCTCGGATGAGGGTGGGGCAGTTACTGGCCTGCTTTATTCCCACTTCCAGAGGTAACTGGTTACCAGTTACCCAACCTCTTAAGGATTGTATAGCATGGATTGGCTGGGCTGGGATGTGGCTCTTCGCACTTTCTTAAGAATGACTACTCATTGAACTCCTGTGTCTGCTTGCCAGCTTCCAAAATTCTGGTAGAGGTGCCTTTCTCTTGTTCTCCCTGACTTGTCAGGTTGTGCTTTTTAAAAATCCTCTAAATTTGATAGTGATTTCTTACACCAAAAGCATAGTCCTTAAAGAAAAAACTGACAAGTTGAATTTCATTAAAATGTAAAACATCTCTGAAAGAGTTAAGAAAATGAGAAGAAAGAAAGAAAAAGAAAGGGAAAATAGCTGGTTATGGTAGCACATGCCAGTAATCCTAGCGCTGGGAGGCTGAGGCAGGAGGAGCACTTCGAGTTCAAGGCCAGCATGGGCTACATAGTGAGTTCAAGGCCAGCCTGAACTACATAGCAAGAACCTGTCTCAAAAACAAAACCACAAAGAATAAATATTGTTAAATGAAATAGAGGCTAGTAAAGTGGACCCTCAAAATTGATGGGAGTTACATTTCTAGAGCACCCACAGATTGTGAAAAACCTTAAATTTCAGATAAATACCTATAAATGCCTATTTTTACAGTTTAAATCCTACATATGCTATGTCTCCTGCAGCTTTGCAATTTAATTCAATTTAATAAAATACTGTATTAATAAAGCCTAAGAAGGTGTTTTGGCAGCATCTTAGGGAGTTTAGGGCTTTAAAAAGAACGAAATCTAGCTGGGCATGGTGACGCACTCCTGTAATCCCGGCACTTGGGAAGCTGAGGCAGGAGGATCTGTGTGAGTTCGAGACCAGCCGGGGCTACGTAGTGAATTCCAGGGCAGTCTCAACTACATAGTGAGTCCCTGTCTCAAAAAAAAAAAAGAAGAAGAAGAAAACCTAGAACACTCAAGATAGCTAGAGGTGGTGCAACAGACCTGTTATGCTGTGAATGCTGGTGCATGTGCTGGAGAAGTTTACATGGCAGCAGCCAATTAGCAGTAAGAAAAGCTGAATAACGCTCTTGAATGGCTACTTGCAAACCTCTCTAAAAAAATTGTGGAGGATATTTACAGTTTCTGAAATTGAAGGGATTTCCAGGAACAATTATTAGTTAGGTTCTAAGGAAAAATCTGCAAATGACTGAGGCTACAAACTCCAAACTTGGACTGCATGGAAGTGTACTATATAGTGGTACTGTAGATTGAGCCTAGGACCTTTGTGTTTGGCTAAATCCTGGCCCTTTTTTATTTCTTACTTGGTCACAGGATTCCACTAAGTTATCCAGGCTCAGCTTGAACATACAATCTTCCTGTTTTGGTTTTCCAGAGTTCTGGGGTTACAGAAATATGCCACATTTTAAAAATTACATTTTTTAAACTTTCAGCTACTTTGTATGGATGACTTTTATGGGTTGCTTTTTTTGTTTTGTTTTAAGGGGGTTGTTTTTTGTTTTTGCTTTTTTATTTGTTTTGGTTGTTTGGTGTTTCCTTTGGTTTGGCTTGATTTTTTTGAAAGGGGTCTTGCTATGTAGATCAGGCTGACCTTGAATTCACTGTGTAGCCCAAGCTGATCACCAACTTACAGTGATCCTCCTGCCTTAGCCTCCTGAGTGCTGCATTACTGTTTTAGGAGTAACTCCCCCACTCCATACCAAGGATTGAACTCATGACCTTCCACTTACAAGGCAGGCATGGTGCCACTGAGCTAAATCCCCGACCCCAGGAGTATCTTTTGAAATATAGATTGTTCTCAGTTGAGCATTAACTAATACAGAATTATCATCATGTTGTCTATCTTTTAACTGTATCTTCTGGAACTCAGTGAGCTATTTAATCATATAATGTTACCCAGACATTAAAACATAATTCCACAATTTTATGAAATGTAATATTCTTGCTGAGTACAGTGGTACATTTCTATAATCTCACCTACCCAGCATGCCAAGACAGAAGGATTACATGTTTGAGGTCAGCCTGAATTACATAGTGAGACCCTGTCTCAAAAAACCAAAAACAACAACAAAGGCAGGAGATGTAACTTAGTAGAGGGCACTTGCCTAGCCTGCAAAAGGCCGGGGATTTAGCTCAGTGGCACCACACCTGCCTGGCAAGTGCAAGATCCTGAGTTTGATCCCCAGTACTGGGGGGAAAAGGCCTTGGGTTCAATCCCTAGTACCGGGGGTGGGCGAGTAATATTCTTTTGCTAATTTACCTCTTCTTTATTTCATATAGTATAAATTTCATTTTATTATGTGGCAGTAAGTTCTCTAAATGCCTGGCAATACCTTATATCAGAATTACCTAAATATTTTAAAAAAATATTAGTTCCTGATTTATAGTTGTGCCTATGACATTCAGCAAACATTCTTTCCATTTTTTTAACATAGAAATTAAGGTAAAATAAAATATTCTACTATCAACCATACCATAGGTTCCCTTGCCTTAGCTCCTTGCATCAACACACTACAACAGCCCATCCAGCAGTTAGGCAGTTAGTCTTTCTGCTGATTACTTTCCATGTGTGGTTTTATTTTTATTTTATTTTAAAATTCTTATTAGTATATGTTTGCAGTATATAATGACTGCATTCATCAAGGGAAATTGCTACATGTACATTACACATATTATTTCTTTGTATTTCCTCCATATGTGGTTTTAGCTGAAATTGGACTCTAGGGAATTAAGAGAAAGTGTCACAATTTGAGGAATGCATAATTAAATTAGATTTGCAATTGTGCATGTTAATCTCTCTGGTAGATGTGATTATTTCTGACCCAGCTCACATTTTTCTTTTCTTTTTCCACACAGATTGATAGAGCTACATTCTCCTGATAGCAGAAACACATTGATCCTACGCTGCAAGGATACAGCCACAGCACACTCCTGGTTCGTAGCTATCCACACCAACATAATGGCTCTCCTCCCACAGGTACTGGCTGAACTCAATGCCATGCTTGGTGCAACCAGTACAGCAGGAGGCAGCAAGGAAGTCAAGCACATTGCCTGGCTGGCAGAACAGGTAGGTGGAGAGGCTGAGCAGGATCTCACTGGTTTCTATTCAGAGCCAGAATGGGTCCTCCATTGCCTGTATCTTGTAGTATTTATCATACTGCTATGTCTTAGATATCCATCTTGCACATCTTTTGTTTTTCCAATTTTTGTTTGTCTCTTGTTTTTCTTTTTTTAACCCTTTAGCTCCTTGCTGATTATCACCTCCACCAGTAGAATTAACTGTTATGTTATTCACCATCATAGTACAAGTAAAAGAAGGTTCTTATTATTGCCTCTGTTTTTAATGACATAGACTCTTTTTTTTTTTGCATCTCCAAACATACACTTTTTTTTTTTTTTTTTTACCAGACTTGAAGAGCTACTTTTCATAAAGTGAGCAATAAGGGTCACCTATTCATAGGACTTCTCAGTTTATTGCAAATTCATTTGGGGGGGGCGGTACCAGGGATTGAACTCTAGTCCTTGCGCTTGTGAGGCAGACAGTGGAACCACTAAGCTAAATCCCCAGCCCTGCAAATTCATTTTTGCTGTTCAAAAATATTTTAAGTTCAAATATGCTTCTTCCTCTGTCATTTAAAAAAATGTTTCCCCATATATTTACACTTGATCTTAGCCAAAAGGCCGAGAAGCGATTCCCCATATATTTAAATAACAGGCAAATTATTTGACAAGCAACAGATATATTTACACATAAATCTAAAATATAAATATTAAATTGAAAATATTAAATTTGAAGCAGAAACCACAGTAAATTTAAATTTATTCTAATCATAAAAATATTTAAATTGAAAATAGTTCATTAGGTTTGAAAATGATATAGGATAATTTTTTTCTGTAAAGGGCTAGATAGCAGTAACTGGGTGATGGGAGTCATGGATAAAATAGAATTAAATAGGCATGATTGTATTTTGATAAAACTTTACAAAAATAGGTGATCACATGGCTTTGGCCTGGAGGTCATAGTTTCTCCATGGCAGCAGACTCTAGTGTACACCCCTACTCTGGGAACAGTACAAAATACACAAAACATTTTACAAGCCATTAAACCAAAGTAGGGTTGTCTTTCATAACTGGAGAGAAAACAAGGAAGCCTAAGAGGATATTGAGTGAAGGGAAAAAAAGTACTGAAGAATGCAAATTATTTTAGATCCCTGGTTTAACCCAGAGAGTAAAAGTTCCTACATGGCATTAAAGTACGCCCTTCACTATCTGCTGGGCCAGAGGGAATTGAAAGAGGAAACTAGGGGTTCAGAAATAGGAGTTCAGGGACTAGCTCTATTTTTTCACTGATTTTAGATCTTTTTAAAGTTTCCTGCCTCTACTTGAATTCTAGTTCCCTCCTGTGCAAGCAAAGGGATAGAGAATGTACTAGATCATTGGCTGCCAAATACTGTGTCATGAAATCAGCGTGTGGAAGTCTCTTGTCTCTTTCTGTCTGTCTTTCTTTCTTTTTTAGGTTTTTAGAGTCTCACCATAGTTTTGGTTGGCCTTGAACTCACTATGTAGCCCAGGCTGGCCTAAAACTCAGTGATCCTCTTACCTCATCCTCTAAAGTGCTAAGATGACAGGCATGCACCCCCATACCAGGCTTCATTTTAATTTTTTAAATACAGTTTCCCAGGTTTGGCCCTCTATCCTCCAACCCAGCAGAATCCTAAATTTTTTTCCAACTAGAGGTTGACTTTATTTATTTAGAGATGGTGTTTTCTCCAGCAAAGATCTGATTTAGTGAGTCTGTGGTTGGGCCTGGAAATCTCATTTTCTTTCAGGCTGGAATTTTGTGAGCACTGCAAATAAAATTATTATAAACTGAAATGCAAATATACAGCAATTATTTCTTTTTTTTATTGAATGTATTGGTACTTTTAAAGTATACAATACAGTTACACTTATCATTAGGATCCTGTACCTTTACATGACAGATCTTGGTTCTCACTTTTTTCCCCATACCCCTGCCTTCCCTTCACCCGCACCACCCTCCTCTATTTACAAAAACTTTGTTTCCATTTTTTCCTTTTCTCGTATTTTTTCTTTTCCCTTATTTCCTTTCCCCTACCCTTCTACTTCCCCTATACCTTTAGCCCTTTTCTTCCTATTTCACATTATCAGTTATACAGTTTGAATCTTACTTACACTTTTAGTTTTTCACACTTGAGAAAGTATTGAGTGTTCATGCATGTGTGTCTTATTTATTTCACTTAAGAGTATGGCCTCAATATGCATCCATTTTCCTATGAATGACTCTAGTTTCAAATTATTTATGACTGAGTAGTACTCCATTGTATAGAAAAACCACATCTTTTTTATCCAGTTTCCAACTGATGGGCAAATGGGCTGTTTCCAAGTTTTAGATATTACGAGCTATGCCGCTGTAAACATGGGTGCACATATATCACTATAATATGATTCTTTTAATTCTTTTGGAAAGATACCCAGCAGAGGGATAGCTGGGTCAAATGGAACCTTTAATCCTAGTTCTTTGAGGTATCTCCATCTTGATTTCCACAGTGGTTACACCAGTCTGCACTCCTGCAACAATAGAGAAGTTTCCTTTCTCCCCACAACCCTGCCAACATTTGTTATTAGTTGATTTTTTGATAGCAGCCATTCTTTCTGGGGTGAGGTGGAATCTCAGTGTTTTTTTCATCTGCATCTCTCAAATGACCAGTGATGTTGAACATTTTTTTACGTATTTATTTGTTGCTTTTCTTTGTTTGTCCAAGAAGTGCCTGTTCATTTCAGATGCCCATTTTTTAATCAGGGCTTTATATTTGGGGGGGGCTGATATTTCTGAGTTCTTATGTGTTCTAGATAACAGTCCTTTGTCTAAGGAACAGCTGGTAAAAAATTTTTCCCATATTGTGGGTTGTCTTTTAGCTCTGTTGGTGGTTTATTTTGCAGTACAGAAGCTTTTTAATAAGATGAGATCCCAATTGTTGATTCTTTATGCTAGTTCCTGTGCTACTGTGGATTTGTTCATAAAGTCTTCCTATGCCAATGTCTTCAAGAGTTCTGCATAACTTATCTTCCAGTAATTTTAGAGTTTCTATTTTATTATTTAGATCTTTAATCCACTTGGATTTTAGTTTAGTGCATGGTGAAAGATAAGGGTCTAGTTTTAATCTTTGACAGGTTGAAATCCAGTTTTTCCAACACAATTTATTAAAAAGGCTATCTTTCCTCCACTAAGGATGGTTGGTCATTTGTCAAAATTGAGGTAGCTGAGTACATCTGGAGTTATTTCTGTATCTTCCAATCTATTCCACTGATCCCCTGATCTGTTTCTTTGCTGGTACCATGCTGTTTTTATCACCGTGGCTTTGTAGTACAGTTTCAAGTTGGGGATTCTGATACCCCGTTATGTCTCTGTTGCCTAGGATGGCTTTTGCTATTCTAGGTCTCTTCTGGTTCCAAATTAATTTTTGTGTTATTTTCTCTAGTTCTGTGAAATATACTGTTGGAATTTCAATTGGGATTGCATTGAATCTGTATAGCAGTTTTGGTAGTATGGCTATTTTCACTATGTTAATTCTTCCTACCCAGGAACAGGGGATATCTTTCCATTTTCTTATATCCTCTTTGATCTCTTTTTTCAGAGTGCTATAGTTTTCAGTGTAGAGGTCTTTTGCTTCCTTACTAAGATTGATTCCTAGATACTTTATTTTTTGGATGCTATTGTGAAAGGAATTGTTTCCCTAATTTCTCTCTCAGTGAGTCTGTTATTCGTGTACAAGAAGGCTACTGATTTTTGAGTGTTGACCTTGTATCCAGCTACTCTGCTGAATTTGTCACTTAAGTCTAGAAGTCTTTTGGCAGAGTTTTTTGGGTCTTCTTTGTAGGTATATGATCAGCAAATAATGACACTTTAACTTCTTCCTTTCCTATCTTTATTCCCTTTATTTCTTTCTCTTGTCTAATTGCTGTGGCTAATGTTTCTAGAACTATATTGAACAGGAGTGGTGATAGTAGACAGCTTTGTTTCGTTCCTGATGTTAGCATGAAGGTTTTTAGTTTTGGGCTATTTAGTATGATTTTGGCTGTTGGTTTTTCTTACATAGCCTTTATCAAGCTGAGATAAAAACCATCTATTCCAATTTTCTGCAGGGTTTTTATCATGAATGGGTGTTGAATTTTGTCCAATGGTTTTTCTGCATCTATTGAGATGATCACATGGCTTTTGTCTTTGACTCGGTTAATATAGTGTATTACATTTGTTGATTTACATATGTTGAGCCATCCTTGCATCCCTGCAATAAATCCAACTTGGTCAGGGTGTATGATCTTGATGACCCTTCGTATTCCGTTTGCCAGTATCTTATTGAGGATTTTTGCATCAGTGTTCAAGAGGGATATTGGCCTGTGGTTTTCTCTGTCTTTGTTTTTTGGTATTGGGGTTTGAACTCCGGTCCTTGTGCTTGTGAAGCAGGCAGCAGAACCACTGAGCTAAATCCCTGGCCCCTGTGGTTTTCTTTTTTGGTTGGGTCTTTCCCTGGTTTTAGAATCAAAGTAACACTTGTTCCAGGAATGAATTTGAAAGTATTGCTTCCCTTTCAGTTTCATCTCCAAGTTTAGAGTAGTTTCAGTAGTTCTTCTCTAAATGTTTTGTAAGATTCAGCTGTGAAGCCATCAGGACCTGGGCTTTTCTTTGTTGGTAAATTTTTAATTATGTTTTCAATTTCACTGATTGTAATTGGGGTGTTTAGAATTTTTTATCTTCTTTGTTCAATTTTGCTAATTCATAAGTATCAAGAAATCTGTCCATTTCTTCTCTCTTTTCCATTTTATTAGAATACAGTTTCTTGAAGTAGGTATTGAGGATCCTTTGGATTTCTGCTGGATCTGTTGTGACTTCACTTTTTTTGTTCCTAATTGCATGGATCTAAGCCTTTTCTTTCATTTTTTTGACAAGGTTGGCTAAGGGTTTATCGATTTTATTTATTCTTTTTAAAAAACAATTCTTCAATTCATTGATTTTTTTTTGTATCATTCTCTTAGTCTCCATTGCAT